ACTGGGGACCACACCCTGAGCCAGCAAGACAAATGCCGCTTTGTAAAGAAAAAAAGGTGCTGACTCATGAAACTGAAAAGTCCTAGGAGAGGTGGTAGGTGGCCTCCAGGGACAGTTGGATTATCCGGTGTCCCCACAAGGGCGTCAAGCCCCTCTCTGGCCAGGTGTTCTTGCTGCATGTGCCGGGGTGGCTGCCTGTATTCCTGAGCTCCCCCACCGCCTTCCAGACTGCAGTCTCCAAACAAGAAGATCTGTACTGACTGCTCTAACAGAAGCCTGTGGAGGACTCTGACTTCCACCCCAGGTCAGGGGCATGGCAGCCAGCCCCATCTAACCACTGGGACCAACCAGGACAGCTATGGAATGAGGAGGAGGAAGGCTTTCCACAGAAGGGTGCTGAGCAAACACACTGTCCTCTGCTGTGGCTTTCTGCGGTGACATGCACTGCACCTTTCAGAATCCACTCCAGTGTCTCATTCTTAGCTTGCTGTCACATCAGTGGTGTCTGGGAAATGGTGAGTACCACGAAACAGGCACCCTAGGGAGGTCTACTTGAAATTCTCTTCATCTATATGCAAAACAGGTGCGATGAACGATGTGTGAAACTTGGGAGCAGTTTTGGATATAAATGTTAACTTTGCTCCTATAAATCTTACTCTTTGGGGGGAGTCTCTTAAGTTTGTTTCCCCATCTATAAAACAAAGGTTATGGGCCCATGTCCTAGGGTAGTTGTGAGAACTACATGAATGAAGGGGTGCCTAGGATAATGCCTAATGTGCAATAGATGATTATTAAAGTGCAAACGAATATTCTAGAAAACTCTTCAGTGGCAATGGAAAGTTAGAGCTTCTTTGGCAGCTAAATTACTGCTTCTAAGGCTTTGCTGGCTGTGGAACCACACTGGAGAACACACATGCCTGTGTAGGGAGAAGTGTTCATTTTCTGCCTGAGCTGACCAGGACTTTTGTAGCTGGTGTCAGCACATTAACTGGTGCTGGAAAGAGGATTCGCAGTCTCTGAGTTCTGTCTTCTGCTTGATTTTGCTTTCTTTTCTTTCTGTTTTGCCTATTTATTGATGGGTCTGGGTAAGTAACAAGATCATACCGTTAATTATTTTTCTTTTTTTACAGCATTAATTCTTAAATTGAAACCACTCAGAATTGGAACACAAGAGGCTGGCGTGGGTGAGAGAATTTCTCGAAGAGCACAGGGAAGGTTGGTAGATCATTCCTGCCCCACCACGACCAGCAGGTCTAGGTTTCAGAAGTCAGAGCCTTGCTTCCTAGAAGGTCCCTTTTCTGAGAGCCAATTTGATCATCCCTGTTCTGTTCTAAGTACATACAGACTTCATTAAGCTCAGCCCACCCGTCAGCCCCACCCAGCCATCCTGTGACCCTGATCCGTGATCACCTGCACCTTCTGGGAGGTGGTAAAGACAATCTCTTGATTTTACTTTCACAGATGGTTATTTATTGTGTGTAGAGTTTATTCGTTTAACTATTAGAGGACAACTTGAGTTCCTTTTGAGGACCAGTAGGACCAGCAACCTTCACAAAGGTGTAAAAAGGCTCTCCAAGAACAAGGTTATCAGTCCTCCTCCGTAATCCTCACCTTGCAGCTGCAGTGCCACCCACTCCTGCCTGCTGGATGGAGTCTTGTCTTCAGTCCCTGCCTGAATGCCACTTCCTTTGGAGGCCATTCTTCATCCTCAAGGTGCAGCTTGGTCCAAAGCCCTGCTGGTTAAAGGGTCTGTTTGTGGCTCTTTTGATATACGTGTCCCTTTACATATATATCGAATTGGGGAGAAATACAACCACTGGTTTCTCAAGTAAAGTAAGAGTTGTGATCAGAAGTCACTAGGATCCTTTAATTTTGGTCCTGATGGAAATAGTTCAACAGCTCCTCCTGAATGCCCAGGCTTAGTGGGCCATGTCTAAAGGCTAAGGCAAAAACTCTGCTGCCTGCTCTGGCAGCCTGAGGCTCAGGAGCCTGTGTTGGAGCCTGGCACACACTTCATCTGAGACACAGTAGGCGGTGCTGGGATGTTAGCATGAGGCGGTAAAGGACAGGGGGATGTCCAGGCCCAGGACACTGGCTTAGCATGACTCCCCTCCCCCAAGAGGATCTGGAGGTGAGGACTTAAGTGCAAGTGGTCTATCTGGGAGCAGGGAAGCTAGGCAGGAAGGGGAAGGAAGCGGTAAAGGATAAATGAGTGACTGGGACCTGTCCCAGGGCTCAGGCAGCGTCCTGCCTTCACCAGGGCCCAGTAATAGGGGCGTCCTCAAGGTACAGCCAGGAGCTCCAGTGGCCCAACCTACAAACTGCATTCTCTCTTCCTGTTTTAGTATCAATACTTAGTTCATTTATGTATATATGTATGTGTATATACAGGGTGGACATAAAGTCCATGTGCAATTTAAAATAGTTTAACTTAGCAAATCACACACAAACTTTATATCCACCCTGCATAAATGTGTTTTTCTTTTGCTCATTGGTAGTTTCATGTCTTCACTGTAATTTTTTCAAGACTTTTGAAAGGAAATCATATTACTTTCACTACAGATAATTCCCAGAGATAATATTTTTTCCTTAAAGTTTGCATTAGGGGCCACCGCATCGTTCTACAGGCTCCAGGGCTGTGGTTATTATTTTTCTTGTCCAGCAAAGAATCTTTTCTGCCTCCATTCTATTTTCATTGACAGTTCTTGCTGATTCTTCATAAAATGTTCTCAGAGACTCCTTCATTTCTTTCCCAGAATGTCAGTATAAGTGAGATCCTTTGAAATTCACTTTATTTCTTCTAGGGAGGGTGAACAGTGGCTCAAGATGAGAAGTGTATTGAGACAAAGACTTCTGAAGCCAGAAGATGTGGTCATTTTTTTCTGGAGAAGTTAACTGGTTATTGCTGATTTAATTATGAGAATCTACATCCTCAGGAGCCAGGCAGAAGATGGAGAGACTGTGACCTTTTTTCATATATTCAGTGGAAGGTGGACGGACTCCGGAGGTGGGAGAGATGGAAGAATGGAAAGTGTCAGCACCCAGCAGTTGTCGTCACTGAGCAGTTTCCCAGGGTCTGAGCACTGTGCTAATGTGACGCAGGTGTGCCACCACCGCCACCGCTTTACCAGTGGGGACCTGGGACTTAAAAAAGAACTTGCTCAAGGCCCCCACCCCTTTTTAGAGGCAGAAAGTTAGTTTCAAAGGCAGACCTTTTTAACTCAAGCATCCATGTTCCCAATTATTACACGTTTTATTTTAGCATAATTTTTATTTTTTACTTTTTTGAGACAGAGTCCTTTTCTGTCACACTGGTTAGAATGCCGTGCCATCATTATGGCTCACTGCAACCTCAAACTCCTGGGCTCACGCC